AAAAAAAAAAAAAAAAAAAAAAAAAAAAAAAAAAAAAAAAAAAAAAAAAAAAAAAAAAAAAAAAAAAAAAGCTTTGATAGAAACTGCTGGTAATCTGATACAACCTGATAAGTGGGCGGCAGCCGTTACACAAAAAGGAAAACAACAGCGTTAAAAAAAGAAAAAAAAAAAGCTTTGATAGAAGCTGGCTGCTGGTAATTGGATGCTACACCGCTACCCAAAAAGGGAAAAAAAAAGTGTCTTCCCTTGGATATATCTGAGCACATACGTTCACAACGAGAAGAAGACCGTCCATCAGTGTGTGAGATAACAAATTAGGAAAAGACAGGGCTACAGCTTTGACACAACCCCTGGCAATTGGGCGCTATGCCGCTACCCAAAAAAAGAAAAACAGCTTCGATACAAGCTGGTAATTGGCCGCTACGCCGCAACCCGAAAAGGAAAAAAAGGTCTTCCCTTGTATAAATCTGAGCGCATACGTGTTTCAAAAACTTTCAATGTACAAAACTATTTATAGAATTTCATTCCCTTGTGTACCTGGCATGCAATTATAGACTCAGACAACTGCCAAATGTGTGATTAAACGTATAATAAAACCGGTAGAATTTAATATTTATTTACAGAATACATTTCTACAATTTTATTCCAGCAGCAGATTCGTTCTCGCTCCACTACTCGCGAAGTGTGCAAAATGAGAATGAATCTTCCGCTAGAATAGCACCGTTCACAGGGAGCTAGCGAAGTCGTGGTTCTATATTGTCAAACAGAACTCAACAGTACTTAACCGTTCTCCTATACGTGACAAACTATTTCGTCGGAGCTTCACCGACTGACTCATCAAACTGTTTCGTCGGAGTTTCACCGACTGACTCATCAAACTGTTTCGTCTGAGTTTCACCGACTGAGTCATCAAACTGTTTCGTCTGAATTTCACCGACTGACTCATCAAACTGTTTCGTCGGGGTTTCACCGACTGACTCATCAAACTGTTTCGTCGGAGTTTCACCGACTGACTCATCAAACTGTTTCGTCGGAGTTTCACCGACTGACTCATCAGGAGGAGGCTGAACCCTCTAAAAAACAGTGTGCAGAATCCCCTAACTGACTGATTAGACTGTAAGTGACAATGATAATCCACCATAACCACAACCGGTTGTGGTTAAGCATCAACGACTGCCCGACAACTGATACCCCTGTGAGGTGGTGGGGAACACCAAGCACTGCCCTCAAGAAGGTACCTGTGACGAAAATCAAAGCAGACTATCACTCACTCACCCACACCAGATGGAAAACTCTACAGACTCTGTCGGTTCACACCCCATCACAAGCCAGCAAAACACCCACGAAACAAAGGTAGGTCTATCGCAGCCAAAAAACATGCGGGAGCCGTACCTATGGGCCACCTCGCACTTCTCTAGGAATGTATACATCATATACATATGGTAAGAAATCGAAGACAGATGAAGCATGTCCTTGGGGGCATCCGTTAAAATAGAGGACCGAAAAAATAATGCCTTTCTCAGCCTTCTGGCTAAGATCAAGCATAGTATCTATATTCTGATCAGTTCCATATCCAATCCGCGGCCCATCGGACCACATTTGGAAAAAAAAAAAAAAAAAAAAAAGGCTAGCAGCCGGACCACCCAGGTCACCTTGTTGGCCAGGACTGCCCGTCCGTGCAGCCGGAACCATTTGTCCGGCCAGGCCAAAAAAAAAAAAAAAAAAAAAAAAAATCATTTTTCATTTTTTGGGGGGGGATAATTTGCAAAATACCCCCATAAGTTGAGATCTATGCCAAATAACCCCATAAGCTAGGCTACCAGAGTGGCCCGGGGGCAGTTGCCCGGCAAGGGCCAAAAATAAATAAAAAAATAAAAATAAATAAAAATTATTTTTTAACTTTTTTTTTTTTTTTCAAAATTTGGTAAAGAAGTGCGATGTGACCCTGAGGCAAAAGTTGTTCAGTTTATTTTTCTGCATAACATAGTTTTTTTTCGGATTTTTTTTTTTTTTTTTTTTTTGCTAGGACCTTCCCTAGGCCTTGCACGGCCGGGCCGTCCGGGAAAATAGGGTGACCCGGGCGTCCATCGAAATTCTTTACCAAATTTAAACTGAACAACTTTTGCCTCAGGGTCCATCGAAATTCTTTACCAAATTTAAAATTAAAAAAAAAACAATAAAATAAGTTTAAATAACAAAACATTGTTTATTTTTTATCTTGTTTAATTTTTTTTTGGCCCGGCCGGCGGGCAAGTGGTCCGGGCCACTCTGGTATAGCCTTTAAAAAAAACAATCAATAAATACATAAATTGGACCAATTTATTTATTGATTGATTGATTCTTTTAAAGGCTACCAATTTTCGGTAGCCTTTTAAGAGAAGATTAGCATGGCCAAACCCAAAAAGAAGCCCGATGAAAACCTACCCCGTATTGGAGGATCAAATTTGATGAACCAGGAATGAAGCTTGACACCATCCTTTGCCCTAAGCCACACATCCTCGTACTGAAGTCTGAACCTGCTGGGGAAGATGGGGTACTCCCGGGTCAGCCCGGGCAGGACCGGGACATAGACCAGCTTCTCCTGGAACGCGACCAACAGGATCAAACACACAGATGCCAATCCTCCAAGCCCATACAACAGACCGTTGAAAAAACCTGTCATTCCCGGCGATCTTCCAGACTGCAGACCACGTCTCTGTGGGGAAGAGGAGGGTGCTGACAAGCTCAGCCACTGCTGTCGGGAAGGACGATGCTGCTGCTGCTGCTGCTGCTGGGCCTGCGGCGGAGATATCGACGCCGCACCTGTCGAAGCCTGCACCTGTCGACGTTGCCGCGATGAGAACTCGACGGGCATAACGGGCAAGATATGGCATTAACAATTATTAACCAGGTAATATATTCTACCTGACACCTGTAAAAAAAAA